CAACCCGGCAACCCGGTCGGGTCGGGTCCGGGTTGAAATGTCCGACCTGTTTGCAAAAATGTTCGGGTCGGGTTCGACCCGAATCCAACGGGTTGACTCGAATTAACACCCCTACTTACTGTATCAATTTCATAAGAATCAAATGCGGACTGTGGGACAAATTTGACTCCAACTATAGTAAAAATGATCCTTCAACATCTAGATAATATTTTAGGAAAATCTCGGCAAATGCAAGGATACTTCCAATCAATTATAGGCTTTATACAATCTTTTATGGGACTTCTACTTCTTAGGCAAGGTCATAATCTCGATCTCAAAAAGGCAGTAACAATCTAAAGATAGATCATTCTTCACCTTTGATGCGGGATACACACGACATTCGTGCTGTCCCAATAAGGGCAAAATTAATACCAGGCGGATTCGATTTTACCTATTCCACACAGGTTAACGTTATCGAATAGTGCTCTGACATACAATCTTAAATAGGTCTCACATCCCTGGTTCTTTAGATTTTTATGTTATGACTTCCGGTTCTTTTTTGATGCGGGATACACACGACATTCGTGCTGTCCCAATAAGGGCAAAATTAATACCAGGCGGATCCGATTTTACCTATTCCACACAGGTTAACGTTATCGAATAGTGCTCTGACATACAATCTTGAATAGGTCTCACATCCCTAGTTCTTTAGATTTTTATGTTATGACTTCCGGTTCTTTTTTTTCAATGAGGTCTTGATGTCTATTAATTTGGACATATAGAGTTACTAAATTGCTATAAAAATTAGATCTAAAGTAGGGGTATCAAAAATTGACACAACCCAAAAATCCAATTCGAATCCGAACAAAACTTTTTTAGTTATCGTCTACCCGAATTAGAAATGGGTTGGTTCAGGTCCTGATTTTCGACCTATTTCAAATTCCAGGCCAAGTTCGGGTTGACACGAAAACCTGAAAATGACTCGGGTTCAACCGAGAACTTCAACCAATTCTTGTTGTCCGCCTCTTCTACTTTCTATGAGTGACCTGACGACTTATCCATCAGCCTCTCCCCATCTTGCCATCCCACTGCCTTGCCATCCTTCCACCGGCGCTCGATTCGTGTTTCTAACCCTAGGTTAGGTGCTAAGCCGCTAGCTTCGCATTCCTCGACAACGTCGAAAGTTCCTTCCTTCCACTTCTCTAGTTTCATAAGGTTTGCTTTTCCTCTTCTCCTGAGTTCTCCGACATCAGCGACGTTCCTTCCTAGTTCCTGTCCTGCGGCTTCAACGAGATGACGGACAAGTTATCTTCCTCCTAGTCTCGACTTCACTTATTTCGTGTCGGGATGGGTCAACTCGGAAACCCAACGGGTCGGGTCCGAGTTGAATTTTATGGTCTGTTTAGAAAAAAAACATGTTAGGTTCGGGTCGTATCAAATAGCGTTGGGTCAGTTCCATATTCGGCTGAACCTGGCCCGCAACCCGATTTTTACACCCCTAGTCTAAAGCCATTCGAAAGAAAAATGATTGATCCAATGCACTCATCTGAATATGGTTATTTGGGTCATCATATGGGTTTCTGGAACATGGTTGTTTGTTACATACAAATATTTAGAGTATGTTTGGGATAGCTTTCTGGCTATTTTATATTCAAATAACAACCACAACTTTATTTGAGTGTTACTATTTTGTTGTTTTCTATTGGCTCAAAAAAAAAAGGCACGAATGCATGAATCCCCCTGTGCAGCCGTAGGATTCCATTTCCCTTAAGTCAAATTGAAATTAACTAGATTTCCCCTGAGGGTAGTGTCATGGTTTATAGATCTGGGGTTCTTACTTCCTATGAGCTCAAACGCCCATAGTTAATTACCTCTCTTACTACGTTAGAGAGAACTCTTGATTAAGGATAAATAAACTTTAGGTAATTTTAGTCTCAATTATGGAGAAAATGGAGGCAAACCTGATCATCACATGGTTTCGTCGTCCTGGGTATACCGTAAATTTCAGTCTACCAACACTAACAAGCATTGCATGTAGTGTCCAGGAAATCTAATTAGCAGCCATGGGTTTCCTTCTCTCAGGGATCTTGAGTAGACTGAAATGGTTAGATGTGTATTTTAGTTTGATTTAATTTGAGTTGTGGCTTATAGCTTCCTTAGAAGTTGCCCATTAATTTGTTTAATTTTGGGCTTACAGTAGTTAGATTTATTATTTTTGTTGCCCAATAATGGGTCTTACAACCTAATCTTATAGAATAGGATGCCCAAAAGTTTAAATTTTGCTTGAATTGGAATTGGATTAGGTCTTAGTGCTTCCTTAGAAATTGCCTAATGATGGGTCTTACGACCTAGAACTTTAAGCTAAGTGGCCCAAGTTGTGGGTCTTACAACCAAGTCCTATAGACTGGGATGCCCAATTGAGGGGTCTAGGGTTGCATTATCACCTAAACATTTACCTCAGAGGTCGGACTTACAGCTTCTATTAGAAGTGGCCAGTGTTTTAATTGGGGGTTAGGAGTTAGGTCAATTTTTACCTAAAATTTTCCCTAAGGTCGGGTTACGACTTTCCTATGAAAGTTGTCGGGTAGTGGGTCTTACAATCAAGTTCTTATAAATAAGGCTGCCGAATAATCTTGAATTTGATTGTTTATTTGTTGAGTTGATTTGAATTTATGATTTTTTCACTTCGGGGCTTTGAGATTTTCTTTAGTGTTTTAATTTGTTTTGTTGTGTGCTCATAACTTGTTTCCTACTACATTGTGGCTATACTAGTTTTTCAGTACTTTAGCTTTTCTTGCTTCCCAGTACTTTTGTCTTACTAGTAGTTAGATTTATTATTTTTCAGTATTTATTTCTATTTATAATTGTGCTGACTCTTATTTGCTTGATCGTAGGTGTTCGTAGCCAGTGGTTGCAGTAGCCGAGGTTTGCAGTTGCAGAAGATAGAGCCCAAAGATAGTTGCAAGAACTCGTTCAAGAGGGACCTTGGAGAACATGCAAAGGAGTTTGAAGATTTCTGAGTTGTTTGGAGAGATTGTACAATTAGTTTGAGAGTTATTATTTGAAAAGGATTTTGAAGAATTTGAGAGCCTGTATATGTCAAATAGTGGACAACATTCTTCCCCCCTTTTCCCATTTTATTCATTGTATTTTTATTTTATATTTGCTCTAATTAGTCAACTAAAAATGCTCCTGAATTTTAATAAAAATTTTTAAATTGCTCTCAAATTTAAAAATAACTTTATATTTTAAATAACTATTGTATTTTTTATATAATTGATTAAATCAATTAATTTTAATTAATTTTGAATTATTTTGATTAATTAATATTAATCAATTAATAAAAAAAATCTAAAATTTGATTGCTCTCCAATTTTAAAATTTTTATAGATCATTGTTTTCCAAAATTTATTAAGTCCAGAATTTTCGAGAAAATTTCGGCAGCCTCCCGGCGTCTCCTCCCCACCGAGGGAGAAATCGGGACGGTTTTTGCAGGAATTTCTTACTACCCGGATCTAAGGTTAACGGCATAGGACTTTCGAATTTAAATCATCCCACCAGGATCTAAGATCGATTGCGTGGGGTATTCGAATTGTAAAACCATCCTCGGGTAGAGGATTGGGTAGAGGATTTTATCTATTTAATACTTAGAAATGATTTATAGTTGTAGCTTTATAATATGAATTTAGTATATACTTTATAGTTGTAAATTTTATCTAAATATATAATATAAATTATTAATAACTTATATTAAATTTTGAATTATAAATTCATATTATTAAATAATTATTGTATAGTTTATTTTTTATTTAAATAATTTTAAAATTTATTAACTCATCCCGTTCACCCCGATCGAACCAATGAATCTTAACCTCTCTTTTTTGTGCTTTAATGACCGGCCCAATTTTCACAGCCTCGATATCTTTTGATAATGTATCATTTTTACTCCAAATTCACATTGATAATTAACTAAGCTTGACATATTAAGTAATTTTACAATAATAACAAAAATTAAATATTTTGATGAAATTTTTTAAAAAAATGAAGCTTTCTCAAAAATGGGGCTCAATTTGTTTCTTATTCAATTCTACATAATTCAATTCAAATAGAATTATACCAATTTTCAAGCAAATTTTAATTTTTGAACAACCTTATTGATACGAAGAAGAAAAATACAGCAATTCTTCTTCTCATACAACTTTTTCTCTTTTTGATCCGATCTCCTTAACTAAACCAAAGAAAACATCTACCTCATTGCCGGATTCAGAATAGGATAAAGACCTTCTAAGATGATGCAATCCTTATCCACTTAAAACTGACCTCCGCGACGCTATATGACCGTTAGATGAACCGTCATTCCGCCATTAAAAGATCTGTAAAAACCTTTCCCTTAAAATCATAGCCGAATTTAGTAAATGACGACTAAACTGCCTATAATTATCTTAATATCCACTATTCACAATGAATGAGGCGATGAATGAAATTGAAGCTGAAAGGAATGCGGTTTTGCAAAGGGCCCTCCCTGCGAGTAAATGCAGCCCGTGGGTAGCTTTAATTCTTTAAACTCCAAACCCTCGTTCTTGTTCTCATTCATTCTTTTCTCACCTTTCCATCTCCCTTCCCGGCAGCGAGTTTTGGCCGGAAAAAAAGCTGTTTTTTTCTTTCTTTTTTTGGGCGACAGCGACGGAGCTGAAGAAGAATGGGTGGGTGCTGCAGCAGAGACGATGTAGCCAAAGAGGGGCTGAGGAGCAGAGGGGAGGAGGAATTTAGTGACGTGTTCTGTGATGAAGGAGGCTTGGAGGGCGGCGTCAGTGCGATTGAGGACGGTACACGTGTGAGATTTGAGGGTTCATGCGGATTCGCTTCCATGTACACGCAGCAGGGATTGAAAGGGGTTAATCAGGACGCAATGGTGCTTTGGGAGGTAATTCTGCGATGGATTTTTTCACTGAAAGAGAAAACTGATATTTTGATTTAGGGTTATGTGAGTGTATGTGTGTGAAAATTGTGGTTTTGGGATTTTGAAGGGATCAATGACTGCTTTTCTTTTGAGATTTTCTTTCAATTTGTTAGAATAATAACTAAAGGTGAGATTTTTAATTTGTTCTTTTCTTCCCTTTCGGAAATTATATTTTTACGTTGCTAGGTAACTGCTGATAAACGTATATAATTGGCCAATGTAGATGGCTTTCATTTTTTTTTTTTTTGGTATGTGATTTATTTCGCTCTTCTTTTTTGTTCTTGTAATACTTTCAAAGGAAAATTTCTTCTTCTTTTTTGGTTTCCCCTCATTCCATCGTGCAATAAGCTCCTCTGCAAATATTTCATGCGTTTTTTCAATTTCATTGAAACAACACAAAAAACAAAAAAAGTCGGTGAAGAAAGGACAATATTTTTCCCATAAAGGAAAAAAAATCCACACCAAGGAATTAGTTTTGGAGAGCAAAACAGGGTGGGTGGATCATCTTCATCATTGTCAACTTTACCCCAAGTGTTTAGATTCAGATTTCAGTTTTATAATTGATTGTCTACACAACTCTAAATTTGTCTCATCTGGGTTTAGTGAGAAGCCTACATAAAAAAAGAAGGTGAGCGCTGATTGCCTTTGATAAAACTAAACTTGGCTTGCTCCTTGTTGTATATGAGCTTGCATTATGCATGAATAAGCTTTCTTCTCCACTTTTTTACTCCTGTGTTCTTTTAGGATTTTGGGGGTGAAAAGGGCTCAGTTTTTTGCGGCGTTTTCGACGGGCATGGCCCATTTGGCCACAAGGTTGCAGGTCATGTTCGCGATAACTTGCCATCGAAGCTGTCCTCGCAATTAAAAGCTTTGGGTTCTCATGTAGACCATCAGGGTAGTAGTGATCTTAGCTTCTGCAATGACAAATCAATTGAATTCAATGACACCACTGAGTCTTATGAGACAAAGAAGGATGAAAATGGCAAATGGTTTCCTTCTTGGAAGCGCACTTTCACCAATGCCTTTGAGGAATTGGACAATGAGCTTAGTATGAATACCAGCATCGATTGCATTTGCAGTGGAACTACTGCAGTCTCGGTTGTTAAACATGTGAGCTTGCAATCTTAATGATTTGTTATAATTTATTGCTTATCCCAACCATCTTACTCTTCTATTTTTCTCTTAGAGGGAGAATTTGTTAGTTGCCAACTTAGGAGATTCACGAGCAATTTTAGGCACAAGAGATGATAAAAACAAGCTTGTTCCAGTTCAACTCACCGTGGATCTGAAGCCAAATCTGCCTGGTGAGCTTGAATTTAACAATTTTTTTCACTCTCTAGCTATTCTTCTTCTTTATGTTAAATGACTGTTTTGTTATGGAAATTTAATTAGGTGAAGCTGAGAGGATTAATAGTTGTAAGGGAAGAGTCTTTGCACTTAAAGAAGAACCTGATGTACATCGGATATGGCTGCCTGATGATGATTGCCCAGGCCTTGCCATGGCTCGAGCTTTTGGTGACTTCTGTCTTAAGGACTACGGCCTTATCTCAACCCCTCAACTTTCTTCCTGGAAGCTCACAGAGAAGGATGAATTTGTTGTCCTTGCAACTGATGGGGTAAATTCACCATTGATCTACAATATTTTCAATAGTCAGTGCAAGATCTCATCTTTATTTGTTAATCAAGTTTGTTTGACTAACTTAATGTCTCATTTAGCTTTCGTTTGGGCCGTCTTTCGTACTGCTTCTTCAACTAGAAAGCTGTTTTAACAGCAGTAAGAAAGTCGTCCCAAACGAAGTCTTACTTCCGGAAGGCTTTTTTATTGCTTCTTTTAGAGTTTTAGTTTAAAAAATTTAATTTTTTGCTAAAACTCTATTTTAAGAAGCAATAAAAAAGCCGTCCCAAACGAATCCTTAATCTTTGTTATTATTAATTATCTTGTTTCTTCTCTTCCAGTTATGGGATGTTCTATCAAACAAGCAGGTGGTTAAGACTGTGTCTTCTGCTAGGAACCGCGCCGATGCAGCCAAGCTCTTGGTGCATCGAGCTGTTAGGACATGGAGGACTAGATATCCGACATCAAAGATCGATGATTGCGCTGCCATTTGCCTTTTTCTCAAGCACTCGAGTCTTTCCCCTCTCCCTTCATTTGATGGTGGAATCCATCCTACAAAATCTCGTGAGCTATCATTCTCTGAAAGCTTCAAAACTGCAAGAAGCAGTGAGACCTCTGATGCAGAGAATCTTGGTACCGCGGCAAATAAAGAGGACTGGACGGCTCTTGAAGGTCTCAGCAGAGTGAATTCCCTGGTGAAGATGCCAAGGTTTGCTAGTGTTCTTAGCTGGCGTCGGAGATCGATGAAGATCGAAGAACAAAATTCCAAAGAAGAAAAGAAATTGGAAGATGATTTTTAAATATGAGACTTGCCTCTGCAATTTAACTCAGAAAATGTTCAATTTTGAAGTCAGAGTTTGAGGAATCTGGAAAAGTGTGAGGTGTGAAGGGCAAGGGAGGCTAGGAAACTTGTCTCTTTGAACACCATCTGCAAGTCTTCATAAGTGAGGGACTTGCAGAACTTATTTTAGACCACTTATTGGAATCGCTATTATAAATAATCTGTGACATTTTGCTGGCTATATTGTGCCAAACATCTTACAGAATACAGCTAGTGAATAAATGTGAGCTCATATTACTCTTATTTTTCTTTGTTTTTCAGCCTATCTTCTGAAGTTATTATGGAACTAGAACCTCTAGAAGCTTGAACTTTATTTTTTTATCAACTAATTCAACTGAAATTTTGTTGACATTTAAACTTAGAAAGCAGGGTCTATAATAAGAGAAATACTGAGCGCTTGCTATGCCCACTTCTATACAGATTGACATCTATGATTTTAGTTTGACGAACCAAGCCGAGACGAGTAATATGTTGTTCAAATTTGTTCATTTAGATCATTTAACCCGAACTGAGTTCTTCACATAGCTTGTAAGTCCTATAAGTCTTGATGTGTTTAACTATAGTTGATTACATTTTAAGGACAAATAACTTTCTTGTGTGATTGAGTGGTCACTTTGTTTATGATGTTCGATTATGTTAACAAAAAAATTTCATCTGAGAGACTGATTATTACTGTTAAGAACTCTCATATTAGAAGTAGATTTATATTACTTAAGGGTGCTATTACACCCTTTTGAAATTTCAAGAGTGATTTTAGTTAGTGTATAATTGATTTAGTATATATAATTTAACTTTAATAAATATAATTAGCGTTTAATTACACTTACACTATTCTACCTAACAACCCCATTATGATACCTCTATTCTTCCTACCAATTTCACTTTGATGTTGATCTCTCATAATTATTTTGCTTGCAAAGGCGCATTTGCCAAGTTCCAAAGCCTCCCTTTCAAGTCAAATTCAAGCATTGCTTGAACGAAAGATTGTTTTGCCAAATATATATATATTTTAGTCTTGATGTAAGAAGAATTTATTGAACAACAATTACAAGGAATAAAAATTGTAATAATTTCTTAGTTAACTAACTTATCAATGTCAATTATAGTATAGTTATACTTATTTGTAATTTTTTAAGACAAACATCAATAAAAGTGATGTCATAACAACATTAAAGCTTAAGCTTAAGATTAAGCTTAAATTAAGTTAAGTTAAGTAAGTTACGTTAAGTAAGTTAAGCTTAAGCTAAATTTAAAAGTAAATTTGTTTAAAAAAAACATTAAAGCTTAAGCTATTATTTAATTAATGAAAATTAAAATTAAATGAGAGCTGAAATGAATATGAGCTAAAATATAAACAATAAAGTTATGATGTGTTTGGAATAGTCACAACTTTTGATAAAAGTGGTTATAAAATTATTATGGAGAAAGTAATTTATTTAAAAGTTAATATAAAGAATAATTTTATGGTGCATAAATTTCTTGAAAGTAGAAAAGAAAACGTGGCAAAATAGAAATTATGATTATGATCTGAAAAATAAAACAACAAAAAAGTTGTACCAAATAGAATCTTAAGCTCCCAAACAGCAACAACAATAACAACAAAAAGCCTTTATCTCATTATGTGGGGTTAGCTTCATCAATCATTTTTCTCCATTGTGTCGTGTTAAGAGTCAAATTCTCACCTTCTCCCAAGCAAAAAGAAAAAGGTTTCAAAAAATGAAGAAATTGTGTTTTGTACAGGACTTTTGGCAGAATGCCTTTACCTGAAAAAGAATAATTTTAGCAACTCAAAGTCAAAAGAAAAATTAAACAAAAATAGAGCTCCATCTAGAGTAATGGGGATTACTCGGTTGAGCCCTCTCACCATTTTGCCCATAAACAAAGTAGCGCATAAGCACATAGAAGAATTTCAGCGCAAGCCAGTAATAAGTACAATGTTAAAACACATGAAATCAACAGTAAGCATACCAATTTACTGTAAAAACTTCTAAAGAAAATAAAAGAGAAGAATTGACAAATTCAATGAGAAATTAAGTCTCTATCCAGCTTTTAATGAAATATTCAATCTTATTGTTACAATATTTTTAATATTTTTGCTTAATCTGAAGAACCAAACATTCTGGTTGAAGAGATTCAGAATATGAAGCCTGGCCCTACACTCTTGGCAGATGTTTCTAATAACTGCTGGTATAATTCTCATCCAATTATTGATGATGCTGTGCAATAAATACTGCGGAAACATTAAATCACATAACAAACAACAAAAAGAACACGGTGATTTATGTGGTCCGGCAAAGATGCCTACGTCTATGAGGAGGGGATGAAGATTTCGTGATATCGGAGAATAATAGGCATTACAATATACTCTCAAGCTCTCTCTCTCTCTTTCTCATGCATACAATATAATAGCCTTCAAGCTCTATTTAGAAATTTGAGACACGATCTAATTAAAAAAAAGATAATTAATACAAAGATTTAATCATTCCAATTAGATCTCTCAATCAGTGCACAAATTAAATCTCCTAATTAAATTCAATTACATATTTTCTAACTGATGCGTCAATCAAATCCCTAATTAAATCTCCAATCAAATCAATCAATTTAGGGAATAATCGACTCCCTAATCAATCACATAAATTTATCATCAAAGCTTTAAAAAAAAAAAAAAAAACCAAAATAAAGCTTTAATTAGATTTGAAAATAATTTCAAATCAACAATCTCCACCTCATCTTTCACTTCAAAAAGTGGAAGATAACACACTAGGCTCTAATATCAAAAAGACTGCACCTAGATGGTTGACTACATACCCCCTTCCAAGGAATCAAGCCAAACGTAGTTCTTCAAACAAGTGGACAATCAGTTATGAGTCCTGCACCACTATCGTGGTGAATGCATCTTCAAGCCTGCATTAACTATACCCTTCAGATACCTCTGACATTCTTCACAGCTTCCCAATGACTCTTTCTATCATGTATAATCCTGCTCAAAATGCCAATTGCTTATGCAATGTCTGGATCGAGTTTCTCTAAAATTAGACAATATTGTGTTACAAGTACCAAGTAACCACAAGTCGACGGATTCTTAATCATTGGGGATAACGCCTTATCATAAGCAATCCCTTCTCATTGCGTAGAACATTTTGCCATCAACCTAGCATTGTACTGCACATCAGCTCCAAGATATATTTCTTTCTTTGCATGTATCCATTTGCATTCAATGGATTTTTCTCTTGGAGGAAGCTTCATCATGCTCCAAGTAGCATCATTATAAAGAGACTCTATCTCTTCATCCATAGCCTTCTTCCAAAGATCATCATCAGGATTGTCCACATCTTCCTCATAGAAAGAAGAAACTCTATCCTCTGTGGTTGAAAGTGCAAATGCAATGTGATCCATCAACTAAGCTGGTTTTTAAACATTTTGGCGCATGGACCTATTCTTCATAATATATTCCTAAGCAGGAATATCATTCTCAACATCATCTTCTGATCTACAGCTGAATCAGGCACCTGGGTAGAGATGATCTGCCTTTGTGCATCAAATGGAGTTACATCAAACTCCAACTTATGTAGAGTATCTATGGTCCCAACAGAATTCTCTACTTGCTTCGAGTCCTGAGACTTCAATATGCTTGCCTCATTGAAACTAACATCTTTTTAAAAGACAATCTTCTTATCTATCAGATCATAGAGTTTGAAGCCCTTGTCTTCATGTCTGAAATCAATAAAGATCACCTTCTTTGCTCACAGTTTGGATACCTTTTTACATCTCCATCTACATCTTTTTTATCACATTATTGTCTTCACACTGGCCATATTATTTGGCAAACCAGTTTGCACATATATACCTATGACTTCGTTATTGAGACCTTCCTATAGAAGTAGATATCACTCAACAATTTCAAAATTTTATATGGAGTGAATCAAAGAAAAAATGTTATACAGAAAGAATGGTGATTGAAAAGATTTAGAAGTTTTGTACTCACAATCAATTATTTGATCAAGAGATTGTGCTATGGTAAAACTTAAGAGGTCAGTCTAACAATAATATCACTTTAAAAAACAATCCCTTATTAGCACAACTGGATCTACTTTCCCAATTAGTTATAAAAAATATTCTCACTTTATGCTCTCTTCTTCACCATCTTCAAGTCAGTCTCTTATTATCATATTTCAATCTTCATATTTAACTATGTGAATTGTTGCGTCCTAGAAAATTCACAGCGATAGCTAAATAGAAAATTTAACGTACTAGCTTTGTACAAAGTTCATGCACACAAATAGATAAGAAAGAGTGGTACAACATTCATAAGGATGTTGAAAATTTTTATATAGAAATCTCTAAAAGCTAGAAAAATCAGGTGACCTAGCCTAGTTGAAATGATTCCACTAATGTTGATGGTTGATTACAAATAATGCCCTTCCTCGGAGGAGGGCATTTACTCAATATAACAAAAATACATTGTATATAGCACATTACATAATTAGAGAATGACATGATAGCTATTCTCAAAAGGGTGTTGTTTTGCTTTTTTCGTTGGTAGGGACATAATCGGATGATGATGGTCGAAAGAATCATAATCAGCAATCGATGGATGTTTGAAGGACCATAGTTGGGTGATGATGTTAGGAAGGGACATATTTAGGTGATGATGGTCAAAGAGATCGTAGTTGCCAGATGACGAAGGTCAGAAGTACCATAGTAGGGAGACTGTGGTCGGACGGACCGTAGTCGGGTGACTGTGATTGAAGGTATCATAGTCAGCGGGCAATAGAGGTTGGAAGGACAGTAGTCGGACGACGATGGTTGGAAGGACCGTAGTTGGGTGACTGTGGTCGGATGGACAGTAGTCGGCAAGCGACGGAGATTAGAAGGATCGTAGTCGAGCGATAATTAGATGAACCATAGTCATTGGGCGACAATGATTGAAGGAAGGCCCAACATTGGTTTTCAAATGGAGGCTCAATGACAATAGTCGGGTGGAGGTCCAACAACACCTATCTCGTGGTCCGGATTCATCGATAACGGTGCCGTTATGGAGCTCTGAATTTAATTTTGAAAGCTTCCAATTCAAATTTGAATTTAGATTCATGACTAATCAAAGCAACTTTTAGGTGGTGCATCAAAAAATGAATATTATACAGTTTACCACTTTAATGTATGTCCTTGTTGTGCTAAACTTTAACCAGACATCGTGTCCTTGTTCAGTTGTTCTATAAATATATGCTTAATGTTGTCTATTG